ACGGTAAAAATTCATCTGGTTTTTTGTTACATATGAAGTATAAACTACATAAGAATATTTAATAATAATAAATACATATCTAAAGAGTCTCTTAAAAACGCCATTAAGGGCCATTAAACGCGAAGGTTTAATCGCCTTTAGATTTGGAGCCACTAACATGACCCTGCGATGAAAAGAAATAACAGTTTTTCTCTTATTAGTCAACATTACTGCGGTCTGCCCCAGGATCCGGTAATTTAGCTGCAGCATTCAGGAACACTGCATACAAGTCATAACAAAATGGTGCCAAGGCGACAGAAAAATGTAATACAAATGATGATATAGGCTGGAAATTATAGCACAATGATACCATACGTGTCCTAACGGTAGGAGTTTTAGAGCTTTGGCCACATTTGCGTAGCTTTTGAATCAGTTTGTCTAGCCTATTAACGTTTTAAAAATTCACCACTGTTTTCGCTTAGTACTGAGTTTTAATAATAAAAAATTATTACAACTCAATACTATTAACAGAATCTTAAAATTATTATTACTATAGTATTGTTGTTTTTACGTCTGGATGCCAAGTAAAAAAACACAAAAGGCCCAGTAAAAAACACAGAAGTTGGGCGTCTGACCGTAACCAACCCCTGTGCCATGAAGTCTGTCTTATGTAAAAAGTATCGAAATATTAAGAATATCACATTGTTAGCTGGCTCTTGTAAAATAGAACTTTAAAATGTTTAAATTTTTCCGTTTGTCTTAAAATTTTGTTCACTATTCTTATTAGGTTAAGATCTATGGCAAATGCTTAAGGTTTCAATAAAAATTTCAATATACAATAATAAATTTTGTCCTAAAAAAAGGTCACTTAGCGACAATCGTCTTTGTCTAAGCAAGAATTTGAAACTGCGCGCAATGTTTAGCGTACTCGATATGACGGGTCTCTGCATTCTTTGTAAGATGGTGGCACTTTTCTCTCCAACAAGTTCCTTTACTGCTTGACTCGAATATCCTCCCAGAACATCAAAATGATGTCATACTGTTTCACTTGGTAGCCAGGGTTCTCTCGCTCAATTCCCACATTAATGGACCATATTTCTGTGTCGTCCCCTTTTCTTTCACTTGGCGGTTATCCAAGCAAGGACAGCTCATTTCAATGGCTAACACCCGTTTCCGCTCTTCGTCGACTATTCTGGCGTCGATTCTGTTGGCCCTCACCTCAATTCTATCTGCATAAACCAGTTAATCCGATAATGCTTGCGCACTCCCATTCTTATATGACGGTTTGCCGGTTGGGTCTTTGAAAACCATGGAGGCACTTCTGAAATAAGTTCCAGGTCCTTCAGCATCTCAAAGAACAAGATTTTAAGAACTGCTTTATGTCACGCCAGATACTTAGTCTGAGCGAGTGTCCCACACCCCGCCAATACGTGCCCCACACTTTAGGGCGATTTACCACACATTCGGCACATGACGGCACATGACATTTGAAATTCCTTTTCCCGTTTTCCTTTGGTGGCATAATTTGGTTGGTAACATCTCTGGTTGGTACAAGCATACTGCTTTGACGCAGCAACTCTGTGGTAGTCTGACAGCGGGCTAGACCAGATAACAGATAACCTTTGCAAGTACACCTTTGCTGCATTTCGAAGGACAATTCTGTCTTCTTGTTTCACATTTTCCAATACTCCCGGAAACTTATAAGAGCCACTTTTTCCAAACTACTTGTTGCTTTAGCATTGTCAATCTTCAGGTCCTCCGCACTTTGAATCAAACACCTTCTGTTCACACGTGCAACCGCGCACTTCTTCTTGTTCTACTTTAAACCCACACATTCCATGTCATCCTTAACAGATCTCAGAACTCTCGGTAGCTTACTTTCCGACGCTGCAGATACCTTCAATCATCAATGTACAACAAATCTGTCATCTTCAGACTGATCGGTTTTGACAACTTGCACCCTTCGATTGCTTTGAGCCTCCAAGCTATAGGATTTAGGCATTTATTATTATTATTATGATTATTATTATTATTATTATTATTATTATTATATTATTATTATTATTATTATATTGCTATTATCCTCATTAAACACAGCTTCTGGGTCTTCTGGGTGACTTGCTGAAGTCCTCCTTAATTAAACATCAAGTCATTAAAGGATTCTGGCTGTGCCCAGCAAACACGCTCTCTGCAAGAATTTCCCAGTCTCCCATATGGTTCACTACATTTGTACGACAAAAAAAATTAATATACTCTTGAGCTTTTCAGTGCTTTAGTTAGGAACTTAGCCCAAGTTTTTTAAAATTCAAAAATACTTTTGATATTCAAATTTATCTTTGTGTTTTATGGTTCTAATTTTTCAGGTTTATGTTACAGATCAAATTATAATATTTTTAGTCTATTTTGATTCTCATTACAATTTCTTTTGTCTGCTAGACCTTATTCATAAATAATTAGGGCTAGAAGACAAAGAAAACAGAGAATCATCCTACGTTAAAAAATTCAACCTGAATTCAGTTTTGATCTGTAATGTAATAATAACAGCCATTCGGAGAAAGGTTGTCGGAAAAAGTGTACTCGACAATCCCAACTAAGCATTGTGGGTGGGTTTAAAATCACTGTTCTTGAAAGAAATTTAAAAAAGAATAGCACGAGATGCCATGGACATGTTTGCGGGTGCTAAAGGAAAGCAACGAAAGTGGCCTGGTTTGACAGCTACAGTCGTCGGGAACAGTGGTCATATCCCATATTAGTAAAATCCAACTAGTGGTCTATTATCAATGCTGCGTTCTGATTGGTTGAGCTACTACTAGGCTATATGTTATAGCCCACTAGTAGCGAAAAGCGCCGCCTTTTGGGGGGCAAAAAAGGATTAAAGTCTAGCTCTAACTATCGCTAAAGTTGTTTTGTCTCGATATTTTTGGCCAGCTAGTTGGATTTTACTGAAACAATTATTCCTCTTCCTCTCGCCCTCATGGACTCTGAGTAAATAGCCCATGAGGCCGAGCCCATTCGGGCTCAAGGAATAATTGTTAATTACCATTCAGGATTGTCGTGTGCATGGCAGATTTTTCACCGACTACCTTTCTCGAAATGGCTGTATATCGTATAGTCATTTGTGGAAGCGACTGTTGGTGTACCCCGGGTGTACTCCCTGTAATGACCTATTAAGCAAGGCTCCGCCCGAAAGGGCTACCTTGTTCAGGCTTCAGGTATATGAAAGGTTTCCCTTGTTGAAGTATATAAAGGGTAGGTAAATCTGTATTTCAATCTAGGGACCACCAGTACAAATATTTGGGTATAAGTGAGCCGTTGAGGGTTTGAAAGCCTGACCCTGCTTAGGACAAAACAATCCTATAATACATACCTTATTTCTTCGAATAATAGCCGAGGGCGATTACTTCAAATATTTCTCACTGGAAGTTGTTCCCAAAATATTTCGTTTTATTTTTCTATTAAATCAAAAAATAATCTCGTCAAATAAACTGAACATGGGCTTTTTAAGTGTTCCAAATTTAGTTCCTTGATAAAGTTTCAGAGCTTGAAGCGCCTCTGATCAGTTTTGCCAAATCTCATTGCACTTCAACTTGACAGGGAGGGGAAAAAAGGAAGAGAAGATCGCGAGAGGGGCGGGGGAGGGGCGAATATTCGAGGGAGGCGATTATTTTAAGTATTTCCGTCAAGGGTGGGGGGGGGGGCGATTATTCGGGGGAGGGGGTTAAACGGGGTACGGCTATTTTTCGAGGAAATACAGTACCTTGTTTAGGACAACAACATCCATTTTATTACCCTGTTTGGGCAAAAATACAAAATGCCCACCTTCTTTTTTTAACTGGCGATTATTTTAAGTATTTCCGTCAAGGGTGGGGGGGGGGGCGATTATTCGAGGGAGGCGGTTAATCGAGGTACGGCTATTATTCGAGGAAATACCGTACCTTGTTTAGGACAACACCATCCATTTTATTACCCTGTTTGGGACAAAGTACAAAATGCACGCCTTCTTGTTTTAACATCTTTTAGAGAACGTCACTTTTTATAAAACAAAATGCGCTTATTTCAGTTTCCGTTTTTGCCACTCGCGAAAGACGTAACTGAAATTCTCCAAAAACAATTGTCCTAATACCTGCGTAAAATCGATTTGGGTTCAAGTTGTTTTGGAAAACTGTACGTGCTTTTGGAAAATTCTTAGCAATGCACCTGAATGTGTATGAAAAGTTCCACTCCGAGTCTTAGCCAAAAACTATTAAAAACATTCTTAACATTCAGCATTAGGTGTAGTTTTAAGATGGACTTAGAATGCCAAGGCATCATTAGAAAATTTTAAAAGCTGTCCGATATGGGTGAATAGCGCGTCCAGGATAGGAACATAGTGAATTCCACGGTCATTTAACAGGTGTTTACAAAGTTGTGTAATAAAATATTGATTCAAATTTAGCCAAAAATACGTGCTACAGATGTAGCGGAACAGTTTAATGATGATAGATCACAATCTAAGCGCCTACAACAATACGGGTCAATGTGGAACTATCATCGACGTTTAACCCTTTACATCTGTAATGAGACATTACGTTTATGCGCTTCTTTTTCTACCGTTGTCTTGGTATATATTACAGGTGTTTTCGAAACCATTGTTTGATGAAGCGAGAAATCAAAAGCGGGATTCCGAATCAGGTAATATTGTTAAATATTTGTTGTTTCGTCTGGGACCCATTTTTTTGTGTCTGACTGGTGTGATTGCACTCTATTTACAGTTTACAAGAACTGAGAATTGTCGTTTCAAAAATTGCTAGTTTGGCAATGTAAAACATCATAAAATATAGTAGCCAAATATTTTCCTTAAGTACGTCTTGCGGTGCTATGCTTGGCCATTTCACGCTTTCACCGGTCTGAAACACTCGAATTAGTAACTTAATTGCTAAAAGTTAGCAATATAATTACTCGGGCAAATCTTGGTCTGAATTAACATTTGTTTAAAAAGCAGAGCTTCTCTAACAGAAATCGCTCGAGAATAGTTCTCGCTCATGCGCGTTCAAGCGCAATACGAGGCTCTGAAAAATTCCCTGATTTTTTCAATTTCAGTTGGCTGTGTAAATGTGGCTTTCATCAATAAATACAACAAGCCGATAAGGATCTGGAAAACAATGTCCAAGACGAGATTTAAGGGATTTGTTGTCTCTGGAAAAATAAAGAAACTAAAAACAATCGTAGCTAATCAGTTCAAGCCCGTTGTTTACCATGCAGAAGCCCTGAACGGCGACAAATCCCCACAACTGTTATTGGACGGTCAGGAGTCACTATCTATTATACCATTTGACTGCAGCGACAAATTTATTAATATAACTGTATCCCCTGCGCCTGGGTTGCAGCAAGACAGTGGTGAGTACAATTACATGTATTTTGTAGCCTTCGTATCAAGCGTTTCCGTTTAGTTTCGGAGCAAAGAAAGACCGAGGAACGGGTTTTGGGTTTCTTCCCTACCCCCTGCCCGCTCTTTTACTCGCCGCATTTTTCGCGCGCCGTCTTTGACTCTCGTTCCTCGTTCTTTGCTCCGAAACCGCATGGCAACGTTTGCTACGCAGGCTAATGTATTCTGAAAGGGAATAACACTTGAATCCAAGAAGGACATCACATGGAGTCCCGAATTTTATAACAAGAAAGTTTTCCAGAGGCGCACGATTTGTCTCTCAGTCTTCAGGTCGTAAACGTTGGCCCTTAAAAAATCCCTTTTAATGACAGAGGATTTTTCAGTGTGACCCATCAAAACGACTGAAGAGAAAGTATTCCAGCTCTTTGTAGGTCCGAGCTTAGACTTTTCACCTTGCCCAAATATGAAGTATTAGTTGGTTTTTTGATGCTCAGGAATCCACTGCAAATTGGCAAAGATCTTTCTATCGTATAATAAGAGAAGCTCTTTACTGAGGTAGATGGACTAGAAAAAAAACTTTTTCATGTTAAGACAACTTTTGCAAGTTTGTGACGCGATTACTGGTTTTCTAGGCAACCCGAGGAATATTATCAGCAAAACTGAGGCAATAAGTTCGACGGATCATAAAGGTTGGTGCTATTTTTACCAGAGAGTAACTCTATAATGATAACAAAGCAAGACTACCCAAAACGTTAATTGCTTGTAATTCAAACACTACGCTTGCTTTTGCCTTCTGCGTCCGGGCATGCTCACAGAACAAAATTCTCCGCTTCTTAAGCCTTCTTCAAGCCGTTCTGATAGTAACCATCCCCCGGATGTGTTCCACGCATTCCGTGTCTTTTTCTACAGAGGCTTTTATTGTTGTTGTTTCAATAACCTGGGTTACGGGCGCCGAAAGGTGGCATAAAGGAAGAGAAAGGGGTAGGGCGTTTCTCCCCTACTTCTTATTGGCGGCTTCCACACAGGCTGTTTCAAGTATTGTTTCGTTTTGTTCAGTATGTTCTTTATCCTTTAATTTCTGAGAGTGACCAACATCAATTTTCTCTTAACGATATCAATACATAATCAAGAGAAAAAGCCATGAGAATTTATGAAATGATGACCCAAAGGGAAAATGTTTTGAACAATCGTTTTCAACTCAATTTTTAAGGAAATGTATGAAAATCAGTCTGGTGAATTTGTATTTGATAATGAGGCTTCATGGTTTAAGTTAACACTGTTCTCTCTCTCTCTGGGATCAGGCTCTATTTTCGTTTCTCTTTGTAAATAACGTTCCGGCTGAGAACTGCTAAAATTGGGCCTGATCTCAGGTTATGTTTTCTCCATCTCTCTCCAGACTGTCTTGAGTCTCAAGGAGGAAATTCAAATGGATCATGTTGCCATTTCCCTTTTCTTTACAAAGGAGTTAAACAAAGCACATGCATAAACAAAGACAGACAGGTGCTCTGGTGTGCGACCACGGACAACTACGACATGGACAACATGTGGGGCTACTGTTAATCTGTTTATAAGAAATACTGCTTTAGACGCATCGGTTATTCCATTGACAGAAAGCTATTAGGGTATCATGGGTATCATGTCAGAGATCATTCGACTTGAGCTTAAATAGCCCATGTTCCAACAAGGGCCATATCTGGTTCGATATCGATTAAGATTCTAACATAACTTTGTGGCTTTCTGGTCATTTTTCAATATTTGGTTTGGTTTTTCTTTGTGTTCAAGCCTCTTCTAGCAATTGTGAGACAATACAGTCTTGAAAAATTTGCAATTTTTGACCCTGGAGCCTTGGAATCATGATAGAATTTTAATATATCGAACCTGGACTATTGGCCATTGATAATTTACCCGACATATAAGAGTCAGTGGTCACCACCAATGCCTACTCATTCCTTCGGTTTAATATATAGACCTTTCCTGCATTACGCTCCGGTGAGTAAACATAAAGAAATGAGGACGAGGCTCGGGTGGACAATTTCATACAAATCACTGCATTTTGTCCACCCGAGCCTCGAGTTGGTGCCTTGGTTTACAGGAATGCGGGAAAGGTCTATAACGTTAGCGAGATTAAGCAAAGACGTTTCTGAGTAGCCTGCGTGACAGGCGCAAAAATGGTACGTGAGGGGGAGGGAGAAAAGGGCGAAAGCGGGGGAAAGGGAAGGGAGCGCCTGCTATAAGAGCCGGTGTTTTGTATTTCGCCCACCGTTACTTAAGTAATCCGATAATGTCAACTGTCAATACATGACCAATCAAAAGTACGGGGCTTCTCAGCATGGTCCGAACTTAATTACTTTGTTTACCGAAATTGTCTAGTTGAGACGCTTTTTTCAAGTGATATCATAATCGACCGAAATAAAACATTTTTATTGTCCCTTACCCTCTTTCCCCAATCCCACTCTCTTTTTCCCTTCCTCCCTATTCCCTAAGTGATGCCCTCTCCCTGTTTATATGCCTTGACGCTAACAAATTTGTACTGCCAAGTTTCTTTTCTCTTATAAAGACGATTTTTCGAGAGTTTCAACCAAACTACTGCCCCGAGAAACAAAAAGTCTACTTAAGGTTGATGTCCAAGCTCAAAAACGCTGTTGCTTAATCTCCTTAGTCGTACCATGATGACCACTTTGTTTAGAACGTTGTATTCAGTTCCAGCCCCCTTTCTTCTGTGAGGAAGGATACTCGCAGGAAGGGTCTTTGAGTCATTGATCATTGGAGCACTGCGTTTCTTTATTTCGGCAACAAATTATGGGTAAAGAGACATATCTCTTCGTAATAAATATTCTGTCCAAAAGCCAGTATTAAATGTTATTATGATATAATTTTATAATTTAATTTTTACCATTACTACTGTTGTAATAAAGAAGTAAAATGAATTTAAAGGTGTATTCATTTGCGAGGTAAAAATGCATTTGAAACAAGCTACAATCTGCTATTGCACATATACTGATTTAACCTATAGTGTATTGTTTTGGGAACCCTAATGCATTCTTATAAAGTTTTGCAGTTTTTGAGGACTACTCCTATATAAGGAAGTCCAAACCTCTAAACTGCTATAGCACTGAAGCAGTACTGCGAGCCTCGTCAGTCCATGATAGCTATTTGCCATCATAGATGGCAAAATCTGGATGGGCACCTCCATCTAACAAGATCTCCAAGTGAATAAGGGCCTGTTTACATGGAGGCGGGGGACCCCAGGTAGGTGAGGTAACCCGCTTAGGTGGGTAACCTGCCTGACGATATAATCTCTCATATTAATGTCCTCACGTTTACATGATAGGTGGGGTGACCTGCTATATGTTACCTCACCTATCTGGGGTCCCCCATCTCCATGTAAACAGGCCCTAAGTTAGTAAAATGATGGATCCCATCATTGTTACGGGGTTGTATATATTCTGGATGACCTCGTGAAGAGGGGTATTTCCAGGGTATTACACTTAAAGTTATTATTTGAAAACAACATTCTTTCTACAAACAAATCATCACTAAACATTGTTGTTTCCTATTGTTGTCATTGACTCTTACAACCAAGGTCATTCCACTTGGTTAATTCTGGTGGTCTGGTGCGAATATCCACAACATGACCAATAAAAATGTGTCCTTGTGTTCTTTTGTTATTATGAATTTTTTTCTACTCTTTGAATGGTATCAAGGAACAGAAAAACACATTAAGTCAGTACTCTTGTGTACACTCAATAAAAAGTTTGGATCCTCTGCACCTTAAATTCAATGGCAAACAAAAAGTTGGTTTACCTATCTCTGTCACATTGCATTTCAGTCCTTCTTATTGAATCTAATGCATACTTATAAACTTTTCCAGTATTTGGGGCACTACTCCCAAATCAGGAAGGTCAAACCTCTTAACAGCCCTGGCACTTATACACTTCAATTTCAGTTTTCTTTTGTCCCAAAGAATACTGCGAGCTTCATCAGTCTTAGCCAAGTCCATGGCTGTTTTACCATCATGGTTTACAAAATCTTGATGAGCACCCCCATCTAACAAGATCTCCAACAAGTTTGTAAAAATATGAATCTCATTAATGTGGGGTTGCAAACAAACAGCCAGGTGAAGTGGAGTATTTCCATCAAAATCTGCGGCATTAACATTGAATCCAGTATTCAAAAGGATCTTCACAACATCTATGGATACCAAAAGTGAACTTGTCACATCCAGGCAACATTTTAAAGTCTCATGTAACAATGAACTTCCATGACGATCCTGAGGATTTAAGCCACTAAGTCTTCTTAGTAGCACTGATACAGCTGAGGTCTTGCCTAACTCAAAATATTGACACTTGCAAAGGAAAGTAATAACCTTCAAGGAAACAATGAACAAGTTGTCTGGATAGTCAACAGTAATAATCCTTTTTTCCTTATTTCCCATCAACTCATGGGTTTTTTTCCACTCATGAGCAATTACTTCAAGTAATTCAACTACATATGTCTCTTTTTGCTCATTGCTCCAGGACTTTTCATAAGTCAAGAGATAATGTTCTACCCTCGCTATATCACGATTGGCAAATGCATATTTCCATGTACATCTTTGCGCTGTTTTCATTGCATGTCTGTACAATCCTACGCATGTGCAAACATCAATGTTCCTATAGTACCAAGCAGAACTTCTTATTCCATCAAGTAATTCAGGATTGTTTTTGCCAAGAATTCTCTCTCTGATGATAAGACTTTCCATTCTTAGGGCATTCACGTCTTTTTCTATCTTTACAAGTTCCTCAAGAGATTGACTCTCTTTTCTATATTGATAAGCATCAATGGGTTCCATGGGTTGTTTCAGCACAGGATGCAAAGGATCAGCATACCGTTCTTCCATGCCAAGCATCAAGTATTGCAATCCTTCATTATTTGTACAAAAAGAGGTGCAGGTGATCAAAGAGGCACCAAGAAGCTCCAGAGCAGTAATTCTGTGTTCTTTTGTTATGTCTGATCCCTTGATTAATTGCTCTACCAAAGACGTAGCCCCATTACAGCTGGCTAGAAGAAGAGGTGTTAGTCCTTGTTTGTTACACATCAGCTGCGATGCTCCAGCAGCAATTAATGTCGTGAGACTGTTAGAACTGCTAGAACCGGAACAAACTCTGCATAGTGCATTGCTGTATCACCATTATCATCTTGAAGATGCAAGTTGGCTCCATGGTTAATGAGGACATTTATTTTATTAACCTGACCAGATCTACTGGCTGTCATCAGGGGAGTACAGTTGTCATTTCCACGAGCGTTGACATCAGCTCCATTTCCAATCAGACAAAGCATAATATCCAATCGTGCCGCTCTGTCACAGGCAAAGTGAAGAGCCCTACCGTCGTTTTTCGACCCGTGATTAAGAAAAAACTTTATGACATTCACATCACATGACCGACTTGCTAGCATCAGGGGGGTGCTGTTGTAATTCGTAAGTGCATTGATGTCAGCCCCATTTTCTAATAAACACTTCAAAACATCACAAGCGATCAAACCATCGGGCACATCTATGACAGCATAGTGAAGACTTGTTAAGCCATTCTTGTCTTTAAGATGAACGTCTGCACCATGTTCTAAAAGGAACTTTATTACAGTGAGGTCATTAACTTCACTGGCAGTCATCAATTGCGTGCATTTGCTGTCTGCCGAACGTACGTTTACATCCGCTCCGTTTTCAATCAAACAATTCAAGACATTATTGCTTGCATACCGGTAGTCTTGTGCACGCCAAGCAACATGATGAAGAACAGTAAAACCGGTCTCTGAACTGATTGTTGCTTTCAATATAGAAGCTCGATCGCTGCTGCTTAACTCTTGGAGAACTTCGTTAAGTAAAACAACATCTCCTTCAATAGCAGCTTTCACCACTTCTTTCGTTGGATCACCAGGATAATATCTTCTTCTACACGCTCTTTTAGCTGGTACCGCCGCCATCTTGATTAGTTGGTTGTGAATTTTTTATGTGGGAGGGGTGGGCAAGTAAATGGCCCACGTGTCACAGGCATTCTAAGAGATCGCCTTTACTTTTCTAAAAAATTTGCTACATTTTTTGCCATTATGCCGCTTGGAGGCAAACTGAGCTTGCCTTAACCTTCAAGCGCTAACCCATAATTATATCAAGAGAGAGACTGAATTTGACGATTATACATAAAAATTGCTTTTATTTTTTTTATCAATCATTGAAGTGAATTATCGATTCTGCACAATTTATATTAAAATATTTCTTTAAGAAAATTAACAAAAACTTCATTAAAAACCTAATATTGAATTTACTAACAACATTATTGTTTTCCGAGTTTTGCAGCTCACAGCCACTTTGATTCCCTTTTGCTGGGTATTAGTGCCGTCTGTTGTGAAGTATTTTGAAGGTTATTTTAAATTTATTTCGTGTTTGTGCTTGACGTTTCACTCGTGAATAGAGTCTTGTTATGATCAGTTTATAGATCAAGGTTAATCTGTATTTGTGTCGACAGGTTTTCAAATTCTAAATAAAAGTTTTCCCTATCCTTTATTTTACCTGAGATGAACAGAAATGTCACTTAATTCACTACCCCATCCACTGATTAGAACTGACTCTGATATTGAGGACTTACATTTTTACTAGAAAAAAATTAAATGACAGTCTCATCACTAAGAAAAGTTAAAATCGCTATTAAATAGTTCTTTGATGATAAGTTTTCAGGCATCACACTTCTTTAAACCATACCACGTCCCTACAGGATACAAATGCAGAAAAAAAAAATCGCTTTTAACATTCAAGAAGCTCTAAAAATCATTGGAATAGAAAGCCAGTCAGCTGGAATAAAACTAAAAGAATGACTGAAAAAAAAAAAAAATGGCTGTCCGAATAAAAAAATGAGTTACAAGGTGGGAGAGACGAGGACATCAGAAGAGAGATGTTGCCATATAAAGGCGGATATATTTGAACGAAGCTTAATGGTGGAAGTGAGGAAACTGTTATTCTTTTTCTGTCTTTATGAGACCATTTTCCTCACTAGTTATAATGATACAAGTGCCATGGGTGAAGGCGCTTGTGATCTCTGTGTCACCTCATGTGAGCAAATCCTGATTAAAGAATCAAGGAAATTTTTGCTCGTGGAATCCAGAAGCCAAGACTAACTTGGATTCCCTAACATGGGTAGGCTTTGATAGATTTTGTTCGCAAATTTAGCATAATATGCTACTAGCAATACTTGTATATTTCTAAAATCTTGCCAATAATTATGCTCTTTTCAGTGAAAAACTTAGAAAGTATGCTTCTAGATTTCACGTAAAATTTGACAAAAAAAAAAACCTCAATAACTATTCTGCCTTATATGGCCTATACGGGGTTGTGCCGAAGGATAGGGTATACCTTTCTGTCCTAAACAGGGTATATAATTTCGTGCGAGTCTGTTAGCATTCACCATTTATTTGACTTGCTAGGTGAACTTTCTTTCTACTCCAAGTATACAAAGGCAATGACTATAACGTGATTTGCTCTATTGGAATTGCCAATAAATGGCTTTCAAACAAGGATGGTGTGCATTTTGACCTTTGTCCTAAACAGGGTAAGACAATTAAGGGCGCTGTCCAAACAGAATATGTATTTTAGGGTTTTTTTTGTCCAAAACAGACTCAGGGTTTCAAGCCCTCGGCGGTTCACCTAAACCATCATATTTGTGGAATACCCCACGATGCCAAAAATAAACCTCTGCAAGAAAGATATTTCTATTTACAAGGTCTAAACGGTGGTTTAAGGAAATGCTAGACAAGTAAATAATATTAATCACTAATTTTGTTATATCTTTTAATTCCCAGTACTATAGGTACTTCTATTTCCTGTCACAGCAAAGTTATTCTTTGTCCGTCTTTATGAGACGATTTTCCTATTTAGTTAAAATGATTGAAGTGACATAGCTGAAGGCGCTGAATGATCTCTGTACGCTATGATGATGCGAATCTACATTTTGCTAATCATGTCAGGCGGACTTTGATAATTTCCTGATATAATTATTTCAAGATGAAAAAACTTGATCAACTTGGTTGTCCGTCTCTGTAGATGGTACACGATCTAGAGAATAAGAAACACCAGAGGATATATTCACGCCGCTTAAAAAGCCTTCAAGACGACGCGTTTTTTACAGATTACGGTATGTTATTTTATTTTATTATTTTGCCTGTGGCGGGGAAATCTCCGAGAAGCAATAAAGATAGGGGTTCACTTGGGTAAAGTTGGGTAATTTCCTTTTTATCCTTCTTATTACTTTTCGATTTTATTTTTAAAATTCCTTTTTCAGGGTCTAACATCTTTCTTTGAAAAAAAATTCATGTCACAACTGTAGCAGATTGCTATGTAGACTAAACAAAGGCTCAATGCGATATAAAAAAGTTCGCTACTTTGGATACAACTGAAGAAGCCTAGTCTTTCATTGTTAGTTCTTTCAATCAATTCGTATTTCCGCTTTGCTCGTTGGAACATTTTGTTTCATGTCCTCTGAGGAAAGGACGAAGCACGCTGCAGCATAACCAAACGTTACAATTGTTCCGATTTTAAATATTTCTGTGATGAGACACACTTTTCTTCGAAATCGTATTCAGTAGTTTGGCTGCGTTATTTCCTCTGTCCATTTTGTCTCTTTATCCCATATAAGACACTGATAAGAAAACGTAGGAGTAAAATATACCCCGCTGCTTCACGGTACACAAGACAGGATCTGCAGCGGCCATTAGGGTCAATTGTGTGTTTTCACATGACGTCATGGCGGTCATATTTGTGTCCCAAGACAATGAAACGGCAGCCTTGTTTGTGTTCCAAACCAGTCCTGTGGGAGTTCAACTCTTTTCTTATGTAAACGCTTTCTTTTGTTCCAATAAATTTGCATAGATGCTGGCCACGTGAGTGAAAACACAGAATTGGCCTATTTTTGTAGCATTTTCCTTGCTAGGGTAGGACAATATAATCAAGGTAGCTTAGAGCTACGGGTACAAACATAAATGATGGGTATGTTGTTTGCATGACATCTCCAAATTACTGCTCTGTAAAACTTTAAAAGTATTGAATTCATTGTGAAACCATGGTCGTGATAGCACTGTCCACTTTGACACTCAGTATATCTCCTTTATCTGCCGGGTAGATGAGGCGAATGAACTGCTGGACGATTCTTCGCCGGAACCTCTCCTTTCACCAAGGCCTGGTAATAAAGCAACAGCAGCCTCCACATCCAACGAGCCAGCTGTTGCGGAATCACAATCCAACAGAAGTGAAGGTATGTAAATTATTTCCGTTGTCTTTTTATTCTTATTATTTTTTTCAAAATTATTTTTCGAGTGCCAGCATCATTTTTCACACTCCTTTAGGCAACATTTTGCACCTTCTGTTAAACGCCCATTCATTGTAACAGCCCCTGATATTTCCTTTAAGGACACAAAGTCATGTTAAGTTTTGCCTTTACTTGAAAGCCAGTACCTGAGATGAATTGGCGTGTTATGTTGAATTTGGAATTAACTTGTGATTTTCAAGTCAATGACCGTTGCATGTGTGCAACTCTGAAATAGATGTAACAAACCTTTTTTGACCTGAACACCATACCAAAGAAAAAGCCAGGGTGATGAAATTCAATACAACAAAGAAGGGAACAGCAGGGGAAGATGGTCGAAGATTTGTGGGATGGGCAGAGCTAGCAGAAAAGCTCTCACCATTTGGTTTGGAGATTGTTACTAAAGAAACTGTAAGAAATCCATAGAGTAGAGCAGATAGAGTCAAAGTGAGAACAGCGACTGCTAAGTAAAAGTGAACTGAATGTTATAATAGTAAAAGCTAGCATTAGGAGATCATGTGGAAAATCCTAACAGCGGCGAGGCAAGGATTGGTGACAGTATTATTTAACAATGGCGAAAGAATTTCGTGCATTGTGTTTACAAGACGTTATAATTGGAACAACCACGTCATCAAGTCCCTTGTAAAATTACCTGATACACCAGTACTTCCAAGTATTGAAGGTTTCAACTTCAAAGTAAGAATTAAATATCATTATTACGAAATGCAAGAAATCTCTCTTCCCGGAATCATACTGGAAACACTCATGTCCACGTTTTATTTGTTTTTCATGCTTCTGTCAAGAATCCATTGAATTAATAAGTTGTACACATCTTTGAGAAGGCTGTAAATGCCTATCCCTTTTTCGTCTTTCCTTCCTTGTTCGTTGTTTTTCTCTATTTCATCTTCTTCCTTTCGCTTCTTGCAGGAATGACGAAGCTCAAACCGTATGAAAGGCTGACTTTTAGCGAGCGCGAAAATACGAAATCCCGTGTTCTGATTGGTTAACAGAGCAGGCAAGGTCGGTCTATCTGGCATGCTTACTATTGCCCATTTTATCCCCCAAGTTTAGGTTTTGCTTTGGCCATATAATAAATTGAGCCATCTTGACCTGACGCTCGGTCTTTAACGAATATTTATCACTCAAAAATCTCAAATTCCTCCGCTAGGTTCTCGTTGTGAATCACTGTGTCCGGAACTTCGCTTGTAGGAAGGCTGTAACGTGGACTTAACCGCCAGTCGTATTGAGTGTCAGCCCAACGCCTGGAAAAGTAAGCAGCACCATGGATATACCCTTTAGTAAACCACCTTTGGTAGAAAAAGATACCCATTTCGTGTACCCTTTATGGGAACACCTAAATGAAAGTTTTCCCTATCCTTTATTTTACTTGAGATGAACAGAAATGTCGCTTAATTCACTACCCCATCCACTGATTAGAACTGACTCTGATATTGAGGACTTACATTTTTACTAGAACAAAATTAAATGACAGTCTCATCACTAAGAAAAGTTAAAATCGCTATTAAATAGTTCTTTGATGATAAGTTTTCAGGCATCACACTTCTTTAAACCATACCACGTCCCTAGAGGATGCAAATGCAGAAAAACAATCGCTTTTAACATTCAAGAAGCTCT